GGAGAGTGGCCCTGTCTCGGCTCCGTGAGCGTGTGTCCCCCCGGCAGGGCGCGATGGACCCCTAAGCGTTAGGGCCGGTATGAGAAAAACCCGCGCGATGCGAATGACTCCTTCCATGCTCGCCCCCTCTCTAGTCCGCTCGCCGCGTGCAGGTTTCCGCGTTGGCCGCTGCCCACTGGGGCGCTCCCGTTGCACGTGGTTCTTTGTTTCAGAAACAAATAAGCCTTGCACGCTGTGAAATCTTCCCCGAGTCGGAAATTGCACGGAGAGTCTGCCAAATACAAAAAGCAAAGTTCCCTGGTAATAAGCAAATGGAAACTAGAAAGGGAAGCAGACTTGAGTACAGCAAAAAACATACAATGTTTGGTGTTTTGTTTTTCATCCCTAGGAACATGCTTCAGGAAGGTGCACATGGGAGATGGACAGTATCTAGCAGTGATGAAAGTACTGAGGAAAATTCTGACGGTGAAAAACCATCTACATCGTCACTCTTGGATGCTGCACGTGGCAGAACAAGTGGGCCACAGTATCCATGTTCTGAAGCTAGGAAAGCTGCTCACAAGAGAAAAGCTTCTCCCCTGAAGCTCAGTGATAGAAGTTCTACAGAAATACCCCCAGCCAGCAAACAGAGAACTAGCCAAGAAGGCTCAGGCTGGTGTCTTTCTAGTAGCGATGAGGAGCCTGAAGATCAGGAAAAGCATGCCCACAAGGAAACACTGAAAGAAGAAAAATGTGATGCACCCGAAGAACGTCCTCTGAATCTTTGTGAAGATGATGAACTCTCAGAGAATCAGAAAGCAGAGGAGTATGATGAAACACCTAGTGAAGGCCAAGATACCTGGGATTTGTTGAATGGAGGGAACCCTTTCAGGTTTTTTCTCACTAAAGTCAGAGGAATTGAACAGAGCTATAATTCTGGAGCCCTGCACATAAAAGGTGAACAAGTGGCTTATACAGATGTAGGCTTTTGGGAGACCTGTTTGCAAAAGGATGCTTGTTTATAGTTTGTGGGTCTTTTTAAATGCATATATTCCTTGATGTAGCTGAGTCTCTTCATCTTGTAAATGTGCAAGTTGCAGGAATTAGTTCTTTTATCTTCACCTTCTCTTTTAGAAGTGTAGGGTATAAAGCGTTAACTTGCTGATACTGATTCTTTTGTAACTTTGGAGTTGTGCTGCACAGACCTAATATGCATTTAGCTATGGCAAATCATGTGGTGCTTCTTATTGGTGCTTTCCGTGTGAGTTAATCTGCGGAAAAATGCTTGCCTTCCTGGCTCCTAAAGGGATGCTTTTCTTGGGTGCCTCACCATCTTCCCTGAGGAGTAGTTTGCACTTGTCCTTGTGCTGCTGAGTGGTTTGGACCTAGTCATTCCCTACTGCTTGGTGCAGTACAAGATACTACTTCTGAACTTCTGTGGCTGGGATTGATGGGCCCATTTCAGCTCAATTAGAGGTAAGCGTAAGTCAGGATGGGAGTGAAGTCTTCAGTGAATGATCCTGGTGCTTCAGGAATGCTGTGTAGTTGTAGTTTGATGTAAGGGGGAACAGCTCTGTGCACCTGTAAACATCCTTCTGTTCAGAAATGAGATCTCATCTATCACAAGACAGAATTGGAAATAAGCATTAATAAGAGATTTATGCACAGAAATGTGATAAAATGAGGCAGAAAAATTTTGTAGTTTTTTGAAGGAGAAGAAATGACTGAAGATCTGTACACTTGGGTTGTAACTTCTGTCACTTGTGCTCCCTATGAGCATTGATTATTGACGGCAGCCTGGTGTCAGAGACCCGAATTGCTTTACTGCTGCATGTCTTTCTCTGCTTTGTGAATTCATTGTGCCTTTAGGCCTGTCCTTTCTTGGGAGTGGTTGTCCTGCTAGGTGATTAGTTGAGCTGGTGGAGGGACTGAGTTTTTAGGGTTTTAACCTGCGAAGCTGGGTTTCTGTAGAGATAGGACATAAAATACTTTCTCTGTCCTAGAAGGTATTTGTGGGATATGTTCTCAAGTGCTTCTGTTATTGAGGTTATAAGTCTTCAGTTGGATTAGTTTTCCATGTTACCATGAATGAACGTATCCTGCAGTCAGTCTGCAACAGATAAGGTGTTAAGCGTTAACTATGCCCTTATAGCTTCTACCCTGCCACAATTCTTCCAGTTCTTCAAGCCCTCTCTATAGGGGAGAGGGTAGTTTGATGACTCTTTCTCCATATGATCTTGGTCTTTCTCCTGCTGAGTTTTTAAAACATGTTTTCTACTTTGAGAGGATTAATGCTTTTTGTAAACATAAGACCATAAGGGTTTCACAGGAGTGACTTAAAGATTCAGAACAGTAAATGTAATTCTGTATGTCTCTTACACCAGATGTGTGAACAACCTGGCACTTGTGTTGTGGTAGTTATCAAACTGTTCAAGATGTGAAATGTTTACTTGAACCTTTTTTTACTCAATTATGCTTTAATGTTTTTAATAGATATTTTGTCTCCTCTTTTTGGGACTCTCGTATCTTCTGCCCAGGTGAGTTTCCTGTTTGCCAAATCAGTTTCACTTGCTTATTTCACTGTATGAACCTTAAACTTGATAATCCACATTAGTGCCATGTAGCTGATGTTAGCAGGGAGCTTTGTTAAAATCCAGAGGGAACTCTAGATTTAGTTTTCAACTGCATAACAATTTATTGAAATATAAAAATCATCCCATGTGCTGCTTGACATTCTGGCGATTGTAAGACTGCTTCTGTCTGTTTTCAGGAATGTGCAACTGAAAAATGCGAATCTATGTGCATGTAAATTATTTTTTTGAAAGAAAAAAGCTTTGCGATCTAGGAATAGTATTTTTCTTACTGCATAGAAGCTTTTGCTGTCATTCATGGTATAAGCACATGGCAAAGAGAAGATGGTTCTTGAACAAAAGCTTTTACTTTAAGTGCATGTGATTCTTTTTTTCTGCATGTTAAATGTTATGAACACTAATAATGCTTTTGAATAGCTTAAATTCATTCCTGAATTGTTAAGACACATGAAAGAAAGCATGTGAAATTCAAAAATTCAACTGTCTTTAAAACATGCTGTGTATGGCGTAAGTGGCATTGACTGACGACTTTATGCAGGAAGCTTTTTTTGTTGTAGTTCATCGTTGTGACAAACTCTGCTCTTTTTAATGAGTCTGTTTTCTTTTTCTTGTCTACAAGTTTAACTACTGTATAGATGTGGGATGGCTTGTGAGACAGTATCCACAGGAATTCAGGTATGTTTATTTTAGGAAGATGAAATGGTAGTTTCCAAATCATTCTGTTCATGCAAGTTTCTGCTATGAGTGAATGATAAACACCTGCTTGTAGTTGCCAGTTATTGTTACCAGTTGCGTATGGGTAGCCTGTTGGTTTTCCTTGTACACTTACTCTGCTGTTGTTCTCCGTTGATTTCTTGCCTCCTTTCAAGACTGTTAAATGGTCAGAATTCAGTATGGCTGGTTTCTGATTTATTAATTAACACTTAGCAGGGTCCAGTTGTGGGCCAGGATGATAATGCAGCAGACTGACGATAAAGGCAGAACAAAAGCTT